CAATGAGGGAGGTCCCCGGGCCTTGTAAAACCCAAGCAGGGTGGGGAAATGCCACCTAGAGTCACAGAGATGGGACACTTTTGTCAGTTCCATTGGAGACATCACTGAATGAAATGCTCCCTTAGGAGGTACAAAAAAAGCCAAGGCAAGCATTTTCAGGACAATAGTCCTCTATGCTAGATTTTAATTCTCTTTTATAACGTACTTTTTGGGTCTTGAATTTGAGATTAAAGATAATCAATAAAAGGGTGATGAATATTAAATATTCAGTGCATTCATCTTTACATATTATTTAGTTGAAAATTTGCTCATTTCATGACTAAAAAATACTTGTGTCATGGTATTATAGATATTCTTGGAATTTACATGAAGGTATTCATTGATATGTTCATGTTTAACCTTTAGGTTTTCACTGTTGTTCTGTAGATGGTGATACAATTATGAAGAATTTAAGGAAGTATTATTTATGTTTATATTGAGAAGAGCAGGTAATAGTCAGTATTTGGACTGTTCTTCCAGTTGTGGCACAAAAACGCCACCAGGGTTATAGAGAGAATGTCTCCTTGTCCCTGAAATGGAGCTGGTAGAAAGACATCTGTCTTAATGTTCACACTATTAAAATTTTAATTATCCTATTTAACGTACGCTGTTGTTGGCTTCCACAAAGTTAGCCATACCTGATTTCTCAAATTTATTGAAATGCAAATGTTGTGGCTACTGGGAATTATTATTAGGAAGTTATTGGATTTTGCATATTAAATATCATTTATTCCAAGGAAGTGATTAAAAGTAACCTTTGCAAAATTGGAGGCCATGCTAAATCTGTTCTAATTTTGTGGATGATGTTAACTGCCTAGTAAGTCTTAATGAATCTTAAATCTACATGTCTGCATGTAGGAAACACTAACATTACACCATCCTTGGAAGAAAGACGATGCCCAGAGCTTAGGCAGGGATGAGTCTCTGATTGCTGGGGGGTCATTAGCATACAGACTGTTTATTGTCAAAAGAGGGCAAGCAACCAGAGTTTAACCAGCACAATATGCCTGCCACTTTCTTGAGACATTCCAGAGATATCCTGGAATGAAAGCAGAGCTCTGGAAATACATTCTCCTCCTTTCACCCTGCAGACTTTTAAAGAACAGGGTATAAAGAACAGCCTAACAAGTGGCTGCAGTGTATGAATGCAGGTGTCTGGGTGTGTTTGTGTGTGTAATTGTGTATGTGTTTATAGTGGTGTGTTAGTGTCTTTGTGGTTGTGCATGTACATATGTGTGATGGAGGAAGACAAGAGTTCTAGTCTTTACTCTCTCTTGCAATTTAGGTCTTGCAAAATGCCAAGGACAGTGGCACTTTTTGGGAAAACTAGTGCTTACTTAAGGGAAAAATTGGACTTTTTTAGTGATATGGGACAATTAAGATTAAAAATTAAATTTGTGAGGAAAGGCTGAGCTGAAATCTGATGTTCCAATACTTTTTGTTGTTGTTGTTGTTTTATTACCAGAGACCAATAATCTGAAATGGAAATCTTTGATTAACCATTCTGTTATACATTGCTATCTTCCCTGAGCCCCTTACAAATTAACCCTGCCTTTACTTGTCATTAACTTTGTGGGGTGCTCCTAGTTTTGATGAATTAATGAGCTGTGTAGAATTTACACTCGAGAATTGAGAAGGAGGGCTTAGAAACTCCCCTGGGAACCCAGATCCTCCTTGTAGGACTTAACTCACAGGAGCTGTCATGAGATTTCACATTCTATGAAGCATGGAAGAGAGACCAAGTTCTCATAAGAACCTCCTTTGTGTCTGTTGCTTTCACATGTGCAGCTTTATTTAATCCACACAATGACCTGCCAAAGAGGTTTCATATCCCCCCTTATATAGATGAGAAATTGGAGCCTCCAAAAGTAAAGTAATTAAGGGTCCCTAAGCAGTAAGTGGCAAAGCTAGGATTTTGAACCTGAGTATTTCTACTCTTGTTCTTTTCTTTCTATCTCATCTAGAGGCCACAGGGCCTGCTGGCACTGCCACCCAGCATGCAGAGGGGTGTGTGTATGCCAGAGGCAACAGGGAAGTGGTTGATCACAGAAATAAAGCTCTGTCCTGTCATAACAGAGAGCCACCAGACATGCGTAGGGACTTTCATCACCTTACACTGTAAATCTCTATACTTGTCAATTACTTTCTGCTACAAGGAAATAGGATGCTATACAAGAATACTTCTGCCAGGAAATTGTAAGAACAAGTAGAAATATAAATGAGGAAAACAAGGCTGCAAGGATTTTTACAAATAACCTTCTGAAGATCACGCAGCTAGGAAAAGGCAGAGCTTTGCTTTAAACAGGGCTTGCAACTTCAAACCCAACAGCTACATGTGCTGTTCCTTCTCCCATGCCACCAGGCTATGCCATACTGACCAGCTGGAGTTCAGGAAGCTTGGGTCCTGAACAGCCTGTGGCAAATCACTTTACGCTTCTGGTCCTCAGTCTTACTAATCTTATGATATGATTTTCTCATTTGTCCTTTGTTCCGAGAGAGAAACCATGAGAAAAATTTGAATAATAAAATCTGATTATGAAATGCCTCAGTGGTTCACATATGGGGTTATATTTTTAGGGGGAAATTTTTTCCTCTGTGAGATGAAGTACACAGTGCCCAAGTCTTTCTGTTAATAGTGAATCTGTTGAAAATAGGCCTTATCTTCATACTCCAGACCATTGATAATAATGAACATTTGCACTTTATGTGAATTTTAGCTTTTTGGAAATCTGTGTACCTTTTTAAAAGAAGTTACATTTTAAGCAAAAGAAAATCTGTCAGTTTGCTTCTCTCCCCTCCCGAATTTCCATAAACTGTTATTGAACGTGAAGTACCATCATGGATGCGCCCTGGCATCTTTATTCCCCTGGTAGCTGATACCACACGTCCCAACTTAGCCTAATGCAGAGTTATTTTTATGAGAATTGTAGGCATCTTCATTTTTAATAAAGGCAGAGGAGGTAGTGAGGAGGAGAAACTTCCACAGAAACATGTGAAAGATGAATTTTAAGTCTGTTTAATCTGTTTTTTGGGAGAGATACTCACCCGTATTTATCCTGTAAATGTAAGATAAATAGGATTTGGGGCCCTTAAAAGACTTTTTTCCTCCCATAGATGGCTGTACTTCTGGTGAATCAAACTAGACTTGTAGAAATGTGATTTTCCTGTACCTAAATGATATTTTCCTGCGTGAAAGCCAGGGCCATTCAGTTGCTCAAATTTAGCTGTTGTGGAATAAACTGTTAGTAAGATGAATGTTCACTGAAATCCAGCAAACTAAATCACATGATTCCTTGGGAAAATTACTTGAGAAGTTTGACCCAGCCCCAGGGAAAGCTGCCCTGGAATCCGCATGGAATCTGTAGAGCAGCAGTGCTTTGCATGGGGTTCTAGGCCTGCCTTCAGTCTTCCTGGACACTTGATCTGGCCCAGGCGAGGTGGGCAAGTAAATGGCTAATTGT